ACACAAAGATTTCACACTTGAGAATGATGCATGTGAGTATTGGTTGTGAGCAGCCCTGATACAAGAGAACATATGCAAGCCATTCCCTATACAATACTGAAGGGAGATATGCACAGATCAAGAAAGAGATGCTAGCAGTGGTGTATGGATTTGAAAATTTTCACCATTACACACATGGGAGAAAAGTATGTGTTCTCACCATCCACAAGCCACTTGTATCAATCTGCCAGAAACCACTAACAAAGGCACCAAAATGTCTCCAAAATCTACTACTGTGTGCCCAGCAGTATGGTTTCTCAATTAAGTACAAGCCAGGAAAAGAAATCCCATTTGCAGATGCACTATTGTGGGCACCTACAGATAAACCAGAAGCAGTAGAACTCACAATTGCGAACAATCTGACAATGAACCTCTTCAAAGACCACAGGCTAACAGAGATTAGGTCTAAGACATGTGAAGACCCTACAATGAAAACACTAGCTGAGGTTATTGCCACAAGCTAACCCAGTGACAAAAGACTATTGCTGGATGCTCTAAAACTGTTTTTCAATTACAGGTATGAATTGGCAGCACAAGATGGACTGACCCTAAGAGGACAGAGAATAGTCATTCCCCTCAGTATGAGATCAGAAATGAAACAAAAAGCACATGCTGGTCACCTAGGCAATAAACTCCTGTCTCAGAAGAACAAGAGACCAGATATTCTGGCCAGGCATGTTTGCAGTAATACAGCAATATGTACAAGCATGTGTCACCTGCACAATATATGCCGATTATCAACCAGCAGAACCACATATAATCACAGAGATACCTAAAAGATCCTGGCAATGAGTCTCTGCAGACATTCTCTCACTATCTAGTCACAGTAACTTCTTTGAAGTTGACAAGCTGAAAACCTCACATGTGTAAGAGGTTATTTTGCCAGGTATGGCATACCAGACACTCTTTCCTCTGATAATGGACCCCAATTCTCGGGTAGCGCATTCCAGAAGTTTTTGAGATATTGGGCATTTACACATGAGATGAAATCCTATGCAACAGTCAGTCTCATGGCACAGCAGAAGCTGCAGTCAAAATTGTGAAATGACTAATGCGGAAATGTAAGGCCTTAGGAGATGACCTACTACTAGGACTGTTAAATCTTTGCAACAAACTAACTCAAGATCTCAGCACCAGCCAGACACAAAAATTTTTCTTGACGCACAAAGTCCATGATGCCAGCTGCAGAAACTATGGTAAAACCCAGCTATCCATACTCATATGAGGATTGGTTGGTTGGTTATTTTGTTTTATGCCATATCAACCTCAGTGGGTCATTTAATGCCAACAGTGTTTTGGAATGGATTTTAGCATAGTTTAGTAGAATATATATATATATATATATATATATATATATGCAGTACTATTCAGCCACTCATATTTTTGAGTACATTCCAATTGCTTTTATAAAATCTATTATCCTAGATGGTGTTATTTCCATAAAGAGTTTCTTCAAATTACTTGTTTGTTTCTGCACTAGATTCAAATTTGTACACTCAAGCAGTATATGTTTAACTGTGAATCTTTTTGGGATTTAGTACATATTGGGGATTCTGTGCCCTCCAGTAAATGATGGTGGGTGATGTAGGTATGGCCTATGTGAAGGCGGGTCAACACAACTTGTTTTCTTCTATTCTTGTATTTTGTTTTCCATTTTCCAATGGTAGGTTTTATGTTTTGTAGTTTGTTATTAGTGTATCCCAATGATTTTGCCACTTCTTAAAGATAATTCTATTTATAATCGGTATACGGTATTCTTGTTTTTGCTATTGTATCCTTCATAGCTTTCTTTGCTTCCAAGTCGCCCTGGTCATTTCCCAGTATACCAAGGTGGCTTGGAATCCAACAAAAGATTATTTCTTTATTTTTTGATAAATGATATATTCTGTTAAGTACTTGTGTAGTTAAAGGGTCAGTAAAATTTTTATTTTTTAAGGCAGTAAGTGCAGACAAAGAATCTGTGAAAATAATGAATTTATTGTGGTGGTTTGTGGTTTGGTCAAGTGCCAAATTAACAACAATTATTTTGGCTCTATATATATATAGAAGCTATGTTTGTAATTCTTTTCTGTTTCTTATGATCTTTTAGTATGGCAGTGCATCCAACTTTATTTTTGTTTTATGCTCGATCTGTATATACATAAAGGTAGTCTGGGTAGTTATTTTTCATATTGAATATTTCGGATTGGTATACTATTGGGATTGTTTTGAATTTTAGATATTTTGTCAGGTCAAGAATTACTTTATTTATAATCCAGGGGTGTGTGGAAGATATGATTGATTTGTGAATTTGTGTTGTATCTATCCGTTTTTCTTCTATGATCTTTTTTATCCGTAAACTAAAAGGTTTGATGGTTTCTTTTTGCTGAAAAAGCTCTATGAACTGTGGTTGGAAAGTAGTACTGAAAGCTGGATTTAGAGGGCATGATGAGAGTTTTAGATAAAAGCTCTTAAACTAAGATGCAAAAAACTTGCTCTGTTTGAATTCGCCTTGGCTGAGACGGGGATACAATACCAGTATACTCATGTCAAGAGCAAGACTGAGCCTCTGCCAAATTCTGGTTTTTATTTAACAACAATCTAACACGGTCAAAAAGTCTTTTTCCTCTTAACACAATTGACTCTCAGCCCCTGCCTTCTAACATATATAAGATAAAGGGTAGGGGGAGTTGTTCCACAAGAGCAGATTGAATAGTATGTTCAAGAGAAAAGAAAGATACATGTGCTAGGGCATGATGGGATCAGGCCTATCCAACTGCCCGTGAGACCAAGTAAGGGTCAAAGTGGTGTGTTGCAAGCGATTGACCACTCTGTTGCTGGATCAATGACTGCTCAACCACTGAGATGCAAGAAAATGTGAAAACTTTAGTTAGGAGAAAGGAAAATAAGAATCAAAAGACAAAAAAGTTGCAATTGACACTGCATTAAAATTTTTGAAGATTGTAATTGACAAGAAGGTAAGAAGCTAAAAGAGTTCTACAGTTGATAAATGTGAGAGAAGAAACTATTAGTATACAACTTACAGTTACATTTAGTTAATTCAACAGTAAAATTATGAGACCTAGTTACCAATCTAGTGCTGTGCTTAAATTCATGAAGTCAAGTTATCAAAGAGGATAATGAAAATATTTATAGAAAATGCACAGGGGAGCTACATTACAGTGGTGGAAAAGTAACTGGTCAAGATGCTAGGTTAGGAATGATAACATTGTAGATTTTTCTTTGGATTTTGTCAAGAATTTTGAGATACATAAGAGGACCAGACCAGATGTGGCAGCAATATTCAATATAAGGATGAATGGCAGACTTATTAAATAGACTATGTGATAGATAGATAGATAGATTCTGACAAGAAAAATTGTCTGGCATGACACAGTAAATCAACTTTCCTAGCAGCAGACCTAGCAACTGATTCAATATAATCATTCTACTTCCCATCAGTGGAAAACATTAGACCAAGAAGGCACAATCAATTGCTCTTCTAGAAGTTTGCATCAACCATGCTGATAGAGGACAAAAATCTAAGATGACTAAAAGATAGCATTTTGTTTTGGAGGTATTAAATTTTACAAGCTATTTGTTGCCCAGTTAACAACAGATTTGAGATCAGCTGCCAATTTGACAGGAGCAAAAAATTGTGGTATCAGCAAAAATACAGTCAGGAACTAATGATATCAGGAAGGTTGTTGATGAAGATGAGAAACAAAGTAGGTCCAAAGATACAACCTTAAAGGACGCTTGCACTAATGCAAAAACATCTAAAAGAGTGGTCATTCAAAATGGCTTTCATTATGCAATTTGTTAAGAAAGATTGGATCAAATCAAGTATTTGGCCACAGTCATTATAGCTCTTTAGCCTGTGAAGAAAACCGGCATACCAAACTTTATGATATGCCTTCAAAATATCTAAAGCCACAGACCAAGCTTTGCTGTTTTTACCTAAAGCTTGACAGACTTTCAGTAATAACCGTTAACACATGATGGTTGACCTTAGAGAAGTGAAAGCCATATTGTTTGTCTGAATGAAAGTCCTGCAAGGTGAGATGCTTAACCAATTCAGAGTTGATGAGAGCCTCTAGTACTTTGCCAAAAAGAGGTAGAAAACTAATAGGTTGATAGCTCAAAGAATCAGACAGTTCATCAAAGTTCTAACAAGATAGAAATTAAAAATCAGCAAGGCATTTGTTATAGAGTTTAGAAAGAACAGGAGTCAGTTCAAGAGCACATTTTTTTAGCACAATTGCAGGGATACCATGGATGAAGTTAGATACATATCATACAAATCATACTTATATGAAGAAAAAGAAGCTCAATACCAGAAGCTATTTTATGGAAAAAAAGGGTGTATGAAATGCACCAATAACTTTGACGCTATGAACGATGGGCAGTGAAACTACTGATCAACCACTTGTGCCAGTCATGTTGATATATTAATTACAAACCCATGTATTGAAACTGAACTGCTTAAACAGGCAAATAAGGAAGATTGTGAAAAAGAATGAGAAGATTGAAAATACTGTCCTAGATCTAAAAGCAGTTCACTATCCTGGTACAAATCCTGATGTAAATCACATTTTAGATCAAGGTATAGAAACAGATACCATTCAGGTGTCAATTCAAGATAATACTGAGGAAAACAATCAATATCTAAATAAGAATCACAAAATAGTATGAAATATACTGTAGACTTCTGTCATTCATTAATGCACCCAAGATATATCAAGAAGTCATTGATTCAAAGAATCCTCCAGGGACTAAGTAGCTCATTGATTCATATTCAAAATATAACTTCAACTCCTGTTGATGTCTCCACTGGAAGGTATTAGCCTTTCTGCCAGTCATTGAGCCCATACAGTGTTTTCATGCACTTAGTGATTTTAGGAAAATTGTACATAGAAATGAATACAAACAACTGACCCAATGGTTATAGTAATTATATTTTTCTGAAATAAAAAGTTTACCTGGTATGAAAGGCAAATTCCATTCTCTTTCTCACTTCAGGATTATGAGCTTTCTTCATGATGGGAAAATAATGTGGATATTTGAGAGTCACTTTATGTTTTCCATCTTCTGTCTGCATGCAAAGTGAGAGGAAACAGTGTCATTGAAAATACATTCAAAATTATATGATTAAACAGTCAATGTGAAATATCAGAAAAGATTTAGTATAAATAGAAGAAATGCTAAAATTAGAAATAATAATTAGGTGAGCTTTAAATAGTGCTGAATCAAAATAGTTTTACTCTTAAAAATGGTGATTATTATTAGTACAATTTGAAAATTAATTACATAGCAAATTTCAACCTGTGAGCCTTTTGTTATTATGATGATGATGATGATTCCAACATCAAAAAGTTCAATAACAGATATAAAAACTTTTCAACTAAAAAAAATTAAAACTAACAAAAAGGCTTCAAATATTGATCTGATAGGTTTTTTTTTTTTTTTTTACTACATCCTAGCTCAAGAACTACTCAGATTCAGTTTTTCTGTTGAGAAATTGTGGAAAGAGTAATTCCTCTTGTTAATAATCAAGTACAATAAATGAAACATAAGACCTTCAAAAACATGAATACTGACAATCAACATTGCCAATTACATTAGAAACTAAATCTCATCCAATTCATTCATATTTGATAATTTTCATGAAGTTATAATGTAGTACAAACATACAATAAAAAGTCACCATCATTATTCAAAAGTTATTCTCAAATTTACACAATTTTCTTCTTGATTCTGAAGTCTACATTACATATATCTTAGTGTTAAGAATCAATGCTCACTATCCTATTATAGGATATATGGGCATATTTATAAATGTGAGAACCAAAAGTGGTGCTAAGTACGGGGAAATAATGTCATTAAGAACTTTAATCATAAAATGAACACTGGCAGTGAACAGATATCTTTTACATCATTGCAATGTTTTTAAAGAAAAATAAGGGAAATAATATTTATCTATCTATCCATCCATTTATTCTTTTTATTATATTATATACTAGCAGTAAAGCCCAGTGTTGCCCGGGAGTAAACTTCCACTGAATGGAAGGTCATAACCGCCATACTCATTTTGTACACGCATGTAAAGCTGAAGTCTAGTAGAACTGATGGCCACCCATGTAAAAAACGTAATGTACACAAGTTGTCGGTATTCATCAACACAAAGGAAGAAAAAATTGTAAGGCTTAAAAGGAAACAATGGACAGCTATGGTAGCATCAGCCATTTGCCATTACTAAGACACCTCCAATTAAAAGATCTCAAGTTCAATACAAACATGGGCCTTAGGAAATTTTTGATGAATTGTGGCAGATGGCTTTGTATTCCGATGGATGGTTTTATCATCTCTGAGTGCAAGACATTACATGAAGCCCTGTGTCAGGTGCAATGTAGTAAAACATAATAACGTGAAAGGTAGATGCAATTTTGCTCAAAAGACAGCGCTGCCACTACGAGTACTTGTAAGTGGCATAAATTTTTTGTAGTTTTTAATAGCCAGTTGAGGCGAGCATGAAGCGCATGTAGCATTACCTAAAGCAGCTCTTATGGTAAGTGGAGAAACACACCAACGGTGTATGGCAGAGAATGCATATTATAATTCTGCATTTTGCTATTTTTTTATTATCCCACTTGTTTTTGCTGAGGCCTGAATTGCATGGATGCACTCGACTTCTCTGACAATTAAACGAATCCACCTTCCCACGTATTGGTTTTGTGTTGCAACTGAATATGGTTACGTGGTCAACATGTAAGTGCGAATGCAGCTATGGTGGGGTTTAAGTGATAAGGGAGCATCTGGTGAGCAAGACAACCTTTAATGAAATGTCTTAGTAATGGCAAGTGGATACTACAATGACCTTTAAATAAACCGGGTTCAAAAATGAAGGAACCTATGATGCAGCTGACATAAAGATGTGTACATTACATTTAAACGTGACTGACCATGGGCTATAGGACTTCTGCGTAGGTAATATTGTTAGCTTTGTTTGTTGCAGAGTAAATGTAAATGTTATCCTTACTCCCGACTTGGGCACAGCCTACATAAAGCTGTCCATGGGCAAAACACTATTCACCTAAATGCAGACCCGTGACGCTGAGCATCTGCCCTTGCGATTTGGCCATTGTTGTTGAGTCGTGCTCACCATACCCCAAGGCATTCTGAACCTCTGGCAGATGCAGTAGATCTGGAATTCCTCAAATGACAATTAGTGGTTTTCACAGGACTTTCTAAAGCACTGACATTTCTTAATGTAGTGAAAGAGATAATCAGCTACCTCAAAAAAGAGTTTGTGTTTTGCGTGCAATCTGCCGAAGAAAAATTACCAAAAAGTAGTCAGCAAAAAAAAAAAAAAAAAAAAAAAACTTTAAGGACTAGAATCTATGTTAATGTTCTTCCCTCCCCTGAATGGCGTGACCAATCAAAAAGATCTCTTGGTGAACAAAAACCATTGTACTTCGCTTATAAAGGCAGGAGATTTTCTGAGCTCGGGAGACGAACACACGTTTTTGCTGGTGAGAAGTGAAGGTTGGACATGTGACCCCATTTTGTCGTTTCTACACTGCTTGTTGGACTGTTATGACGGGCTATCATTTGAACTGTGATTTGGCTACAAGTGTTGTGGTCGAAAGACAGAAGTTATTGCAGATGTTTGTTGCTACTATAAGTTGACAGTCTTTTCTTTTCTTTACAACCATGCTTAAATGATGAATAGCGGTTTGTTGAGGTTGTTCCGAAACTCTGGAAGATGCTGTAGCCCTAGTATTTCTAAGACGATGCAAAGTGGTTTGTTCAGGGCTTTCTAAACCTCTAGAACATGCTGTAGTGCTGGCATTCCTTAAATGCCAAAAGATTGTCTGTGTTGGGGACTCGGAAGCCCTGGCCCTAGAAACTCGTATTGTGTCCTGTGAATTCTGTACTAAACGCTCTTCAGTTGAAAGTCTAGCGTATCGTAGTGACATAACTGATGCTACTGATGCCAGCCTTTCAGTCCGTTCAGCGGTACTTTCCATGGAGATGTGGGCAGCAGAGCGTGAGGCCATCTGAGAAAGGCACAACAAAGTTTGCTCTATGGTTTCACTTGCCCTTGCTGCTCTTGTAGTGGAGACAGGCAGCAATTGTGCACTGTCCAAAAAGTTTTCTTCTCTTAGGCGGCATTTTAACCAATTTTAAAAAGGCAAATGTAATAAAAGCTATGTAGGTTTTTTGAGTGCAAAAAATATGTATAGTCTAAACATAGGCAGGTTAGAGGGATCCCAAAAATGTATGTAACTGTATCAAAAGGGGATCAAAGATAAAAAAAGTGAAGTTTAAAAAATTCAACCAAAGCTAAAACGGCAGTAGGTAATTTGGGAAGTAAATTCGATAAATGCAGAAACGGATGTAGTTATAACTAAGTAAAAAAAGTTTGGATATGTAATCAACAACTTGTGGCTTCCGTAAGAAGCGAATGAAGTGAGCCAAGTGCGGGATAGTAATCGCAGAAGTGTGTTGGCTGGTTGACCTTGAGCGCACATACTAAGTTGACATACGTACACACTTTCATAAGAGAACTGCTTGCATGTAGGTTTGGATGGGCCCAAGGTTAAACGCTTGCAACATTATCAGGTTTTTTATTGATAAATATGAAAGCTATGTAGTTCCTTATACCAAAATAGGTGTTGCCTTTTTTATTTACATCATCACCGATGTAGCGCAGTCTCTCAAAGTCAGCCAATCAGAAAATGGGATTTTCAAACTTCATTTTTCCTTGAAAATTTTGAGCAGCCAGGAGATTTGAGGTAGTTTTATTGATCAAAAGTTGAAAATACAAGTGTTTTTACACTTCTTATGAACAAAATTTTAAACAATGTTAATTTCGTTTACTGATGGATGATGAAGGCCTTTAAGTAGCATCAATTTAGAGGAAAATGTGAGAACTTTTTGGGGCAGCGATGTGCAGTAGTAAAATTATAGTGAGTAGGTGCCTTTTGCTACATGTAAACGGCATGAAAAGACATAACAGTCCCCCGGTGTCCCCTCGAATGAAAAATGCAATCAAATGTGAAAAATTGGACAATTGGGGGGCAGCCAATTCTGTCCACTTGGCTTAAAAATGGTGGTGTGAAGTGGCATGAAATATGTTAGTGATTGCTCACTGACTTCAATCCTATGTTTTTGTAAGCTAAATGGGCTACAAACACCTAAAAAGCAGCAGTTTCACCTTGTTTTTATTGATTTTTCTGGTAAAATTTGACATGTAGCTCTGTAAATCCCTTTTAAAATGGCCTTAATGTTTACTGTGCAAATGCAGAAAACATGGAAAATAATACATGCCTGCATTGAAACATTAAAAGATCCTTTTTAAAAACCATGATATGAGCGTTAAATCCTGAAATAAAAGTAGGCTACTTGAAACCTCTACCCCATTTAGGATGCTTGATGTGTGTACGCATGATCGATAATATTGATTTAAATATTGACTTACATCAATTTTTGGCATCGTCAAAACCCCTGCAGGACCATTAGCAGTAACTGTATCAAATTTGGTTGAAAAATGTAGGAGATCCGATCAAACATATAAACAAACACACACACATTCTGCCTTTTATATATGTATAGATTTTTTTTATTTTCTTTTAAAATAGATATTTATTTATTTATTATAATCATTTTATTCTTTAGGTTTAGTGGCTGGTTTTACATCAATTGTTGTTTAAAAAGTATCACCTAGTGACCTTATTTTGTTACAAATATTTTGTATATTATTAAGAATCATATTTTTATATTACTTTTATCATGAATATTTAATATATATTTGCTAATGTATTTATACACTGAATAACTGAGTTTTGTTTATATTTTAACGTATATTTTAAGGAAGAGGCTGTATCTTCAAATTTTTAGGAGAGGTGTTTCAAATCTTATCGTTTATTTGGTTTTGTTTTCTATTGTTTAACAGTTAAACAGTTTTAGCAGCAACAATAATAAAAAAAATGATTTATTTGGGGATTACTTCATATTACTTTGCTATTAACATTAAATTTTGATACATTATAAAAAGCTATGATTTAAGATTATTCATGAATCATAATACTACAAGTTAAAATTAGAGCAAAGATGAGTTCACATGAATACACACAAAAGAAAAAACAAATAGTGGCAGCTTACTTTTTCAAGAGAAGTTATAAAAGATTCAGGCATTCCCACTAAAAAAAAAAGAAAAAAAGAAAAAAAAAAAAAAGGAAAAAAAAAAAAAAGGTCATGAATAATGAATTTGAAAATGAGAACAAATATAAATGATTCAAACAATAATGCTAAGAATTTTATATGAATTTATAATAAAGGAAGTTTTGTGCATTATACTAAAATATGACTGATTATTATCACTCAGTATCTCCAGGTAGGTGTATAACTTGTACACAAGATGGAAGTGTGTTGTCTTAAGTAATTGGTTAGATCCAGTTGTGAGTTCAATACCTGGTTATGGAAGTGGAGATCTTGGAGAGGTAAATTAACAGGAGATAACTTATAACTGACATACATTAGACATGGCACGTGGAACTAGAACAGTCTGCTCCAGCAAATGAAATAAAGGGTTCAGTTCGACATACCAACCACCTGAAGAAGGCTGAAGCATACAATGGCTGAAATGTTGTGATAAATATGGCAACAAAGATGAGGACAATAGTCCGAATACTGTAAATAGTGATACTAAATACAATTGAAATTGAACCCTACCCCTAAGTAGAATGTGGTCTAAAAACTTCATAGGCTGAATATGAAGGAGTACTGTTAGAGCTATAAAGTTGTTATATAGGAATAAAGTGTTGCTGCTGACATTTGGGTTTGAACACCTATCACCAGAGAGCAAACACAGGTGATCCCATTTTGAATAAGCAGATCAAATGATAGTAAAGGAAATGTATATATGGGAACTAGCATGGCATTAATTGATCACCATTTCTATACAGATTACTATAACATCTATTACTATACGGTTCATTATTCTCTATACTATTCTGGTGGTTACTTATTGAACAAGTACTATTAGTGCGAGTGTTATTCGAAGGCATCTGATACCAGTATTGTTCAGTGGCATTACTATAGTTGTATCTGCAATTACAAAGTCTACTACAACAAGCATTATGAAAGTGACAATAAATATACGTTGACATTACAAGTGGCAATGAGTGTTCGTTGACATCACAAAAGAAATCTTGCATGCATTAATAACAACTCTTATTATTAATAACTGCATTTTTTCTTTCCAGGTAAACTGACATCTGACTGTTCAAAGAAGACTTCACAAGTAATTAGTAGTGACTTCTCTTGAAAATGGAAAAAATTTGGTATTGTGGTGTAGAAAAATGGTTTAGCCCCCAATGACATTCATGTTGATATGGTTGCTACATTAGGGATAATACTCCAGATTTACCAACAGTGCAAAAGTGGGCAGCTGAATTTGAGAGGGGAAGGGAGAGTCTTCAAGATGACCCTAGGTCTGGACATCCTGCAAATGCCACCATTAAGGTAAACACTGATTGTGTTCATAACATGGTGATGGAGTACAGGTGAGTGACTATAAATCAAATAGCCAATGCTATTAGATGATTCCTTGAGAGAGTTGAGAATATTCTGCACAATGAACTTGGCATGATGATTATTTCTGCTCAGTGAGTGCCTTCTCTTCTGACACCTGATGAAAAGTGCACCAGACCTATCACATCATGGGAAAATCTGACATTGTTTGAGGCAGATCCAGCTGGTTTCTTTGAATGTTTCCTAACCCAGGATAAGTGTTAGGTTCATCACTTTGAGCCAGAGACAAAGAGGCAATCCATGCAGTGGAAATAGCAAACCTCATCTGCTCCAAATAAGGCCAGGGTCATTTCATCTGCAGAAAAAGTCATGTCCTCATGGATGTAAAAAGCATTGTGGTTATTGATTATCTTCAAAACAGCCACACCATCAATGGAGAGTAATATGTCAACTTGCTGAATATGTTATGAAAGGCTATCAAGACCAAATCCCCTGAAAAACTGATGAAAGGGTTCTTGTTTCATCAGGTCAATGATCCTTCACAAATCCTTAGGTTAACTTGGCTGTTGTGCATGACTCTGGCTTGAAACTAGTTGATAACACTCCCTATTCTCCTGATTTAACTATCATCTGTTCCCTGACATGAAAAAACACTTAGCAGAGTGATGATGATATCATATCTGCTGTTGATGACTTTTTTAACCAACAGGGAGAACAGTCTTCTTTAAAAAGTCAAATGTCAGTTTACCTGGAAAGAAACAATACAGTTATTAATAATAAGAGGTGGAAGGAATTTATGCATGTAAAACTTCACAGCTGTAACATTACTCCTTCATAGTCAGCTTATGAACTTTTCGGCCCATCTTTGTAAATATGATACTAAATACAAACAAAATTTAGCACTATCCCAAAGTATTACTTCAAATAAGATGCTAAATACAAATAAAATTTAATCTTACCCTTAGTTATAAATTTAAATATAATACAAATGAAATTGTAAAAGAACAACCTTTGGCTTGTGACAAGTGGTTGAAATAGCCAAGAAGCATTTGGCAGTGGCTGCTCAAGATGAAACAAGTGTTTGTTTCAATTTGGCATACAAGAACTAAAAGGACAATTGCTGGATTGTCAGTGTGTTAAGAGCCTGCTGCAATCATTCACTTTCAACACAAGCTATTTCAGCTCTAGCAAAAATGAACAGCAAGTTTGATCTGAAGCTGATTCCTGCATTTGATAGATCAGCAACCAGCCTGTCCATAGTTGAGTGGGTGGAGAAAGTAGAGCCCATTTGGAGGATGTGCAGCTTGAAGTGGCCTGAGTACATTTTCCCTTTGAGGCTATCAGCAGGAGTGTTTGCTGTCTACAAACAATAAATCGATGAGAAGGTGGATGCAGAAAGAATTAAAACTACCTTATATACAGCATTTGTGATCATGCACATTGTGGAGCTGCAGTGAAAACAGCTTCTTTTTACACCATCCAGAATGGACACTGACCATTGACTGACTAGCTGCTGGCATGAGCATGGATAATCTTGAAAGATGAGATAACTGACATGGATTTGACAGTAGCACAGACAATAAGTGAAAGTTCATGCAATAACATCATGTACTACAAGTGAAATGGTAGAAAAGGACTGTTGCTGTTGTTTGTCTGTAATCATTTGTTTTGGACACAGATATATCACCCTACACTTATGTATAACTGTAAATATGATGCTAAATCCAATTGTGTGTGTCTATATTTCTGAGATGAGGTATTATTTACATTATTTGGACTATTGTCCTCATTTTTGGCCGTTGTACGCTCCAGCCTTCTTCAGGTGGTTGGAATTTCAAACTGAACCCTTTATTTCGCTCACTGGGGTAGACTGTTCTAGTTCCACATGCCATGTTTGATGGATGTCAGTTATCAGTTATCTCCTGCTAATTTCCCTCAAAGTTCTCCACTGCCTTAACCAGGTATTGAACTCACACTCTTTGGGTCAGTGGATAAAGGCGTTGGTTAGATCCAGTGACAGGACTCAAAGAGTTTTCCAATCCTTACATTGCTTTTCAAGAGCACATAAAATTGAATTATTATTCCAAATGATCTTATCAAATGAAAAATATTTAATGCTTTTAAATTATATTTTTATTTTTTTTACACAGGGCAATACATCAAATGAAATTGATTCACTAGAATCTTTATTTTAATGCTCTTGGTTTAGTTTCTACAACTGAGCAAAAAATTCTGCATTTCAACTCAAAAGCCATTTATTCACATTTGAAGGATAAATAACTCCTAAACTAAGAGGTAGAATGAAGCAAAAATTGGTAAAAAATTACAACCTGACATCTTAAGTGTCAAAGTTGGCAAAATCATGCTTGCAGTTCCTAATTTGTAAATTGAACATATTGAAATTTCAATTTATCATAACCTCTGAACAAATTGTTCAAAGTAAAGTTTCTAGGATTTATCACTAGATAAGGTATCACTTAATGAAATTTTATCAAAATTTAAGATAGTGCTGACAGAGACTTAAGAAAAAGTAGGTGATCTGCCAAAATAGCTGCAATGTACTCCTAAATATAATTAAAAAAAAGTGTAATGTTTAAAACTTCAATTCATAAGCAACTGTCATTTCAGTAACAAGGGCCATAACTTTCTTTGGCAATGTTCCCATATCCAGTTGCATTATTGTAATACAATTTATTATGAAGAAGTTCTGCCGCTACAGCTTTGGCATCTAAGGTCAACCTTTTGCTGGACAAAACTAATGTTCTGCTTCTTCAATAATATCGAGCTGGTCACACAAATCTTTGGTCCTACAACCATAAGATGAATTACCCATTTAGACCTCCAAGTATAAACTATTAGAATGAGTATACAAATAAAGAGAATACCACAAACTACAATAAATAAATGCCACTTAAAGTCACTATTTATGCACTTAAAGGGAAACTGATCCGTTAAAGGTACATAACTCTTCTGATCCTAAAATTCACTGTCTATCAAATAATTCATCTTGCCATGATAGGATAAATACAAAAAATTTCCAACCTGTCCTGATTACTATGAAAATTTCATATTCCCACTTCAAACCAATCTTCTAATGTTTGAGGATAGGAGAAATACTGCTGAAATAATAACGGCCTTACTACTCATCTCTATAGTGAGTTCCTAGAAATTATGAGTGAAAATGTAAAACTACTATCATGCATCATATTTAAGAAAAGCACAAAATGATAACACTTAAAAGTGAGGCAGGAATTTTTTAAAATTATTTTTCATTGATGATAATTAGAAAGTATGTAATTTTGATACATTTTTTTCTAATTTATTGTCATAAATGCCTCAATAACTGTTACTCAAGGATTTTTGACTTAAAGAGGAACTAATAGACTTACATAATTCTTCTGATGTCAGTTCAATTATGGGATTGTATTCATTGATGTTTTTGCTAAACTCTATGCACAATTCACTGATTCTTTTCTTAATTTCCTTTATTTTATCTTGAGTTTCCTTGGGTAAATGTAAACCTAAAAGAAAATAATAAATAAATAAATAAATAAATAAATAGATAGATAGATAGATAGAGAGAATTAATATAAGTAAAAGTTTGTCAGCTGATTGATGTTACCTTCAGCATCCAGACTCCAGAGTTTTGTAGGTAGAGCTGTCCATCCACTCTTCAGGGGCTATCAGCAATTGACTGCTTATATTTTTTCAATTTTTCTTATATACATTATATAACACATATACATACATACCTAGATACTGCAATAATTTGAAATAAAATATATTATTTCACATGTCATTGAAGGGAAAACTTACTTTGTTATTAGCAGTTAGTGTGAAGGTAGTTTTAATTGTACATTATAATATCTTGGATCCAATTTTTTGAAAACTTAGGTAAAAAAAAAAAAAAAATATATATATATTGCAACTATATTAACATATATAAATCATAAAACAAAAGCTCATTTAAAATTAGAGATTCAGGGGAAGTAAATTAAAAGGAGCAACTGGGATTTTATGCAGTTGCTTTCAGACTGTCAACTATACTGAGTAAAAACTTACCATTTTTACGTCCTAATTTAATAAGACGTTCAGCCCAACGTTTGGTCTCTGCATCTAAAGTGTTTCGATTCTTTTCAAAGAATGTTACAATCGTATCAAATACATCTTGACGCATGCTAGGAACAAGAAAAAGAAAAGTCAAGGAAAAGAAAGGTTGGCTTAGTGAATGATTTATACAAGAAATTAATTACATAAAATTATAAGTCAAGAAATGATTGAAACATGTCAGAATTCTTCCAAAAATAGCAGTACATCAAGTTTGTTGGCTGTTGAATGTAAAGTTTTAAATTAAGGAAATTTACTTGAAATATACCTGAAGAAAAAATACTGTCCAATTGTAAAACTGTACAAATCTATATTAAATAACAAAAAAGAGAAAATAATATACAATAGATATTCTTATTTGAAAATTTTAATAAGAGTCAAAGACTCATTCACAATGAGAAAAGACAAAACTATGTAACTAAGAAAATTAGTATCATGTAAATCTTTTTGCATAATTTCATTTTTGTAAGAAAAATAAATCAAAATGTTATTCTATTATTCAGTGTGAAAAGGATGACAAGTATTCAGTTTTAAAAATTACTTAAGTTAAGCAAAAGAAATTTACAAATAAAATTTTTCAGTATAAAAGTCACAACTATTAATTAATCAGGTATTAAAGCAAATTAAGCATTAGTTTTCAAGAAAAGGTTTAACAAATTCAAGTCATTATTTTTTAGTATCTTTTAATGGATGTATGTGTAGGCATTTATGTATATGACTTTCAAGATATTTCTAGCATAAAATATTAGGATTCAGTGCTGTAGAAAACACGAGGTCAAATAACCAAATCAAAGTTTATAGTAAAAATTAGTTACAGACAAGTGTTTAACATTCCTTACTATATTGCGTAAAAATTCCAATTTGATACAAGATTTCTAAAGTCAGAGAAATGGCAAGTGTTTTGAAAAAATTTTTCAGTTAATTTTAAACCACTGTATAACATTTTATAAGCAGAGATTAAAGTTGTGTGTTGGGATTTTTGTATATATTGATACTGTATGTAAGGAATACAATTATGATAGATTTAATTAAGAGAAAATATGAAACAAACACTTTTGCCACTGTTTTAAAAATTAAATTCAGATTATTTATATAGCAAGTGCTCTAAAAACATGAAACAAGATTAGATTATCAATAAGGAGCATATAATATTCTTTAAATACCAAGTTTTATTAGCTAATCAGTTTTAAGTTTACTTGTCATAAAAGTGTAAATACAATTCATCCAATCCACCTTGAATATATGTTAACATTTTTAAGAAAATTTTTTTTTTTAAATTTTGGTTATTGTAGCAATAAATTTTAAAAATGAAAAAAATAATTTGTTTTAAATTGAGTAAATTTTTAGGGGAAATATCAGCAGTACAAAATTATTTGTTAGAAATGTTTCTTCAAATTTGTACTGAAAATAATTTCAACTTGTACAAGGAATATTTAATTATAGAATGAACATAATGATCTGGCAGGTCAAAAGCAAGAACAACAAAAACGAGGAATTCAAATAAATATGCCAAAATTTATTCTTGACAAATGCAAAATACAATTCCAAGAAAGGAAATGCAAAATGTAGATGTTGAAAAGAGTTCTGGGGAAATCAGATAAGCAGTGGTTGAGAACTGGTCAGGTGCTAAAAAAATAGATTAGAGAAAAAAAAAGTTTGTAGCGCTGCTAACAAAGACACCGTAACGATTGGTAGAATGGTAAACTGTCAGCTAACAAATGAGATGAAACGACATGCTGTAGTTGCTGTGATACATGCAAACATAATGATGTTGAGATTACGATTACACATTTTTTTTTAGGTCGTTTGTGCACAGAGTTTGGAAGGAATTGGAAGCCTCTAAGAGGAGATGTGTCACCTGCAGCAAAGTGCAAAAAATCATTCAATCACAGGACACCACAATTTGTACTGTGAGTGCAGAACATTATTGATGCGAAACCCAGAATGTCCAGGAAGGCCATTGCCAGAGATTTCTAAGTGTCCGAGAGTACAACCAATAATGTGGTGCATGAGGAAATTTCGGTACAAGTCATACATAATGACGAAGAAAGAGTAATTAATTCATGTCGGGGCACACATATGGTTGCTCTGAGCAAAATGTTTACTGAATAGTGAACACGTTGAAATATCCAGAACCTGGCATGCTTTGGGTTTATATTTTATTTTCATCTGAAAAAAGTTTTGAGCCGGATCAAAAAGTGAACTGGAGAAATACAAACCTTAAAATAAAATTTGCCGATTGAAAAATAAAACAAAGCTATTGCTTTGACAATTTGTATTAGGTTGTAGCAATTAGAATTTCATGATGTTCGGATTTAAAAAAAAAATGTTTAAATTCTCCATTGCAAACCTATCCCTTTTCAAAATTGGAAACATGAATTTTATTCAGAAAAATCAAAAGCAGCAGAGAGGATTTGATGCAAGGGAACAAGAAAAATTTTCTATCATTATGGTTTCATTGCAAATTTTATAAAAACATCACCTCGGTCCAGATATAGGTTCGTTAAATTAATATAACTTATCTGAAAAATCATTATCACACACACAAAAAAAATCCCTAAAATACCAAAATGTTTCGCCTTTAACCCACAAAAAGAGTTGCTAAGCCGTAGAAAACAAATCAATCAGCTGCCTTTACCTTAAGGGCGAGTAAAAAACGTATGGGAGAATTGCACACTCACCTCATTTCCACATCAAATTCAGATAATTTTTTGTCAGCTTCAACACTTGCATCCCTGAGTTCTTTGTCAGTAAATACTTGTTGTATAAAAACCACGTTGCTTCGATGGACCTCGTATTCTATGGCATCACTTGCTAAAGGCTAAAAAATGGAAAGAAACATTTTTTTTATTTACTCATTACTGTTAGTGGTTTGGTGGTATTTTTATAATTATTATTATATATATATATTTTTTTTTTACTTTATTATTAAATAACAGAACAAACTCAGTAGCAATAAATAGTTTCAATTCAAAGAAAAGAATGTATTTCTGGAGAATAGAAAAAATCTTCCCACTGAATCGAATAAAAAAGGAAAAGGTTATTGGATTTGTTGGGGAACCTGGAAAAGTATTACTACGCTTAAACAGAAAAAATAATAAAAACAAGTCTTGTAAGAGGACTTTTTAGTCTTAGTAGGGAGAAAAATAATTTAAAGCGTAATTTATAAAATAAATAGTAATTGAATTTTAAAAGTAACTTTTAAACTGTTTAAACAAGAGCTAAACTTTAGCGAGCAGAATGTTGAAAAGCAATGAAAACCTGTTAAAAAAAAAAAAAGTTTCTTTTAGTAACTAAAAGAAACTTTTTTTTTTTTTTTTTAAATTTAGTTTTACCAAATGTTTTTAGGGGTAAAAAATGGTTTCGATGATCATTCTTACGCGATTAAAAAGTATTACAATTTGTTTAAAATACAGCGAAAAGAAAAGCCCCCAAATAATTTTTAAATGTTCTAATTATGAACATTTAAACAAGCACCTGCACAGATTACTTTTAGTTTTAAAGTATATATTTTTAATTCATTTTTTTTTTTCAATCAATGGATTTTTTAAAAGATTTACACAAGTTTACACAATTATTTTTTTTCTTTGTTGAACTTACCTTGACTACGGTATCGTAATTAACGTCATCATATTTCAAACCGCCAACTTTATCATGTATTAACTTAGATTTTACAATCATATCATCAGTGGCTGTTTTAATTTTGTCGATTGTCCACGCCCAAGTCAGTTCTACTCCGGGGATATGATTATCATTACTGTTGTTAACTGGATGCTGAATTTGATTAGACATGATAATAAATAAATTAGCCCTAGACAAATAACAGAAGTTGCTGTAAATCAGTAGTACTTCTTGAATGAATGAACTTACTTAATAATAATTATTAATTGTTACTTAGTGAAAAATGCAGTTTTGTTCGTATACCAGAGAAAAAGGGAACAAACAAACCGACTTACACTAGAAAAACGAATTCTAAAAACTAAGAAATTGGTATTACAACTGGACACTGACAGTGACTGCTGTTGTATGCGTGGTTAATGATAATTGTTTCTGAAGTAAAGGAGATAGCAAAAGCCACACGTCACGAATTAAAAACGACCCTATGGCAACATCCCAGTCAGCGACTTATCGCGCATGCGCAGTACGCAGTTAATCCTCCACTTTAGTTAAACTTGTTATTGTTCTTTCTTTACCGATGGGAATTATTTCTCTTCCAAATATCTGTAGTGTACAAGCATACATATCTATTTAGAAGTAAGTTTCATTCATTTGTTTATAAAAATAATTTTCAGATGGTACAATAAAAGATATAGTGAGACAATGAATAGAAATATAAACCAAGCAATCTTTGTTATTTTTCTCATTGTGCAGTACATATTTTTTAATTTTTATTCATTAATAAATAATGATGATGATGAAAAATAAAAAAAGAGATTCATACAACTATTACTACAAAAAGAGCAGGTGTACCTTCAGCAAAGCCTTCATCAGATGATGATCCTGTAGTCGGCCATAGTTTCAAGGCTAAAGCATCTTTACAATTAACCAAGGCAACCCCATTAGTATTTTGGAGGAATTTCTGTTGTTATTCCAAACAATGATAACGTACTCACTTACCTTTGTTTTAAACATTTTTTTTTATTTTGTGCCAGATCATTTATCTGTTGTATGAACATTTCCTCTTCATTAAACTATGGATTTTAAAATTTTCTGATTTATTTTCCTGAAATGAGCTACTGACACAACTTCAAGCATTTAAATTCATATATATATTCCTTATTTTCTTAAAAATTACCCATGTGTTTCCTCATCATTACCATCCTTCATTAATATTCTTGGTGTGGGTAAATCAATTGTGCATTTTAACACCTATTCCCCATGCCACTAAAACTTTATCCAGGTTAATATATATTTGAGGGAGGCCTGGAGGCATAACAGTTGAAACATTGAGATAACAACAACAAAGATGAGGACAATAGTCCAAATATAAATAGTGTAAATAATGATAACTCCTCATTCCAGAAAGTCAGACAAAAATATGTACATGAATTCAAAAGAGTCAAAAAGGAGTAAAAATAGTCTTTAGTTGAGTTAAAGTCTTTAGATAGTTGGTTTACAGTAAAACCTGTGTTTGATAAAAGATTTTTGAGTAGTTGGTTCACAATAAAAATTTGCTGTTGAGAAAAACTTTTGAGTAGTTGGAGATGGTCTCTTTCAGCACATACTGAGTGGAACGAAAAAGCTATGTAGCCATATCTTATTTTGGGTCTGAATGGCTTAGAGACAGTCACATCTCTGCTCCTGAAAGTTGAAATCTGTTCGTTTTCATAAAAAAGTTTTCCCAAAAGTAAGCTCGAGGAAAATAGGGTTTTATTTTTTTCTGATTGGTCAAATATTTTATATGGTGATGTTAATTTCTAATCAATAGACACTTTGATTTAAACAGTGTGTGTTATATTGTGGAATCTTTTTGGCATGATTGTACATATTGTCTGTTATTGGGTAGAAAATAAAATTTGGGTGTGTTTTAATATGGTATGTATGTGGGTATGTAATTGTTTTGGAAATAGGGTTTATTTTCCATGTTGCCACCAGACTTTGTTAATTTTCCATCCAAGTTAGGAATGCCAGGTCTATGCAGATGCTCAGCCTCTGCCTGATCTTGGAGCCACTTAATATATTTCTTCTTTTCTGTTGATGGCTATTTGACTTTAGGATGAGGACAAATTTTCTATTAATTTTGAGTTTGCTGACAGGACTGGAACAAAGTGTTTAATTTCTAATGATATCAAGAATGAAGGAGAAAATGAAGTTGTATACATTAAACTTTTATGCATCAACCATAAAAAAATCATAAACAAATGGGTATTTATGAAACTTTTTAATGGTCCTTGAGAGTTTTTTTTAGAGTTTACAGTTTTAAGTTTGTTTTTGAATTAAAAAGTGTTCAGTCAGTAGCTATTTATCCATACACCTAAAGTAGAATTTAACACAAAAGTGAGTTTAAAGTGAGATCCCACATGCACAAAAAATGCTCTAGCTTCCTCAGCACTTCTATTTTGGGGGACATATCAGGTGCCAGGTAATTCCCCTTCTCCATTATTATTAGGTATTGGGTGGGCCTGGGGTAAAGAAACTGAAAACAAGAAAGTCTCCGGAGGGGAGAATGAAATTACTGATTTATTTTTGGCTTCAGCAGGATGTGAAGCCATAAAGAAAATATCCATTGTGGTGTACCCCAAAATACTGGAAGATTTAACATATGAGGAAATTTGAACCATTATAAACACATATACATGCAACCAAAAAAAAGCTGGTTATTGCAGAAACAACAAAATTTCTGGAAAATAGACAGAACCCAAATGCAATATTTACACAGATTGAAAGAAGCATCAAAATATTGCAAATTTGAAAAACTGGGTTTGAGAGAAATGTCTATAGAAGATGAATTGATCCTTCTAAAACTAATTGAAGGCATATATGATGTTACATATGAACATATGATCCTAGAATAGCTACAAGCAAATGATATGAATTTAGAAGCAAGTGTAGAATTCTTGCAGCAATTAGAATTAATTAATGAATTTAATAATTCTAAAAACAATGTGGAAGCATACAACACAACTAAAATCCTAATTAAGTGCAAATATTGCGACAAAGAACACAAAAGAAACAAAAACAAATGTCCAGCCCTAGGAAAATTATGCTTAAATTGTAAAAGAAAAGACCATTTCCAATCTTGATGCAGATACAAAAAGAGAATAGAAAGGGTTGAAAGTATAAATGCTCATACTGAAAATAAAGAAGTATATTCAATAAGAACACCTGCAAAAATTAGAGAGTAAAATTGAATGGAATAACTTATCACATTCAGGTTGATATGGGGAGTGATGTTACCTTGAGTCCAAGGAACTTCTGGGAAAAAATGTGTAAACCCAAATTAAGAAAAAGTAATCTTAATTTAAAACAATTTGATGGATCTGTCATCAAAACTCTAGGCTCCTTTGAAGGAACTTTTGAGTAAAAAAACTGTTTTGAGATTATTCCCATCACTGTTGTAGAATGCACAAAAATTATGGACTCCTGGGAATAGACATTTTAAAAGTGGATACAGTGAAATTAATAAACTGTATAAAGTCAGAAGAACCTGACATAAGACTATTGAAAGGATATAAAGCAAGTATTTGTCTAAAAAGAAAATAGTCACCCAATCTATTTTGAATCTCAAAAATACCTATTCACATTCTACCCATGGTAGTTGCAAAACTAAAAAAAAAATGGTAGAACAAAGGCATATTGGAGAAAGTTACCCAAGGTGGTAGCAGTTGGGCTTCACCAATTGTTGTGATACAAAAGCCCAATGGTGATTTGAGGATATGTGGGGATTACAAAGTAGGTGTGAATCATCAGATATGCTCTGATTCATTCCCCTTACCTAACATAGAAACGGCAAGTCATGAATTAGCAAGAATTAAATACTTTGCCAAGATTGACTTGAAATCAGCATATAACCAAATACAAATTGACAAATATTTAAAGAAATCAATAATTATCTTCCATTTGGAGTTTGACTTAAGATGGACATATTTTTCCATTTGGAGTTAATTGAAAAGCCATATTTTTCAAAAAGGCAATTGAAAAAAATCAGAGGGGGTAAAAAATATAATTATATATAAAGACAATATAGGCATAGATGCTTGCAGTAAAGAGAAAAAAAAAAAATTGAACAAGTTTTAAACAAATTAAAAAATGTTGGTATGACAATAAATAGCAATAAATGTGAGTTAAATTGTGACAAAATATTGTATTTGGGATACCAAATATCTAAAGAAGGAATTTCACCAGACAATAAACTGATAAATAAAATATCAGAAGTATCTACACAAAAAATAAAAAAGAATTAGAATCCTTTTTGGGATTGACCAATTTTTATAGCAAATATCTACCTAGATACAGTGACCTAATAGAACCATTTGCAGAATTACGGAAAAAGAATACAGAATTTAAATGGACTCAAAGGCAAAATATAGATTTTGAAAGCTTAAAAAAGCACTAATAAGAAAACCAATTGCAAAAATCTTTGATCCAAAAAAGAAGTGACATTGACTATGGATGCAAGTGAACATGCTGTAGCCACAATTTTATCTCAAGAAGGTCATCCAATAATGTACCTGTTGAGAAAATTAATGTCAGCTGAAGCTAACTACTCAAATATTGAGAAAGAAGCATTAACAATAGTATGGAGCACAGAAAGAGCTTGAAATTTTTTGTTAGGATGAAAATTTTTGTTAAAGTCAGATCACAAACCTTTAGAGTTTATATTTAATCCCAGAAAGGAATTACCAAAAGTCACATCTTCTAGAATTTTAAGATGGGCTATAAAACTCATGGCTTTTGATTTTGACATCATATACATAAAGGGGAACATTATTCCACATGTGAATGCACTATCCAGACTAAATTTCAACAATAAAAAATTGGAAATGTCTGAAAATTCAGAAGATAAAATACTGCACTGGGTTGAAATGATATGTTACCCTTAAATTGTTTAAGAATGGAAAACATACAAGATCCAGTGTTAAGTAGAATTTCAGACAGAATAAAAAGAAAGACATGGAGCAATTGTTCAATGACAGAAAAACCCTACAAAGAATCAAAACATAAGTTAACTGTAGAGAAAGGCATAATATGCAATGGGGATATTATAATACCCCAACAAAATTTAAGAAAAAAAGTACTAAAAAGTGTACACGATGATGTATATTATAGTATAACAGCAACACAAATGAGAT